TCCGCCGCCCGGGACCTTCCCCAGGAAACCGCTTGGCGCTGGGGTTATGCAGCGCATAGATTAGAGCGGCGACCCAGGGCTTCCCAAACTGGCAGGGCGGCTGCCGAAAACGTGGTTGCGGAAAATTCGCTCCCTCACCGCAAAGTAAACGGTTCAAATTTCACTTTAAAATGTACATGGTAGAGAATGTGTATCCATTTTCTTGTGGTGCTTTTGTTTCATATTTATTTTAAATTTTAATTCACTAGTTTATGTGTTGTTTACATTTGAAGAAAACGTTTCACATTTAAAAAATATATTTATGTACATTTGCAGTGTAATTGTTTAATTTGTTCTTAATTGGTAATATTTATTACGATAAGAATAATTTTTCATATCAGATTAAAATTTAGTTTACATCAGTAAATTTATTAATCATTCCAAACACTTTGGAGGTGTTTTCAATTTTCGAACATTTTAAACAATTTATGAATCCCTTCTAGAAAGGATCCGTATTTACAAGTAACTTTAGGATGCCTTGCCTTATTGACCGCTAAGGTATAGAGCTGACGAAAAAAACTTTAAACAAAATTCCGTGTTCATTTCTTTGTCATTTTTAGTTAAATTAGAATAATATTTTGGTTTGCAAAGAGGAATCTTGAGTGTTTTGAAGTGCAATATTAAAGCAAAACATTATTAAACGAAAATAAATAGTTGAGGGGAAAAAGTATCCATTTCATTGCTCGGTAGAAATCGGATTATTAGGGTGAAAACTAATTTACATTTTATAGAGATAACAAATTTACATACTTAGCAAAACATTCAACCTTTAAGTGAAGAAGGCTTAGAATACAACCAGATGCGCAAGAAAGAAAAAAAGGCAACTCCTGCGCTCTGCGTTGCGGTCGAGTTTAATTCTCGGCCGTTTCATCAAGAATGCCTAGAATTTGAATCTCGGCGGTGTATGCAATGCAAACTTTGCAGTGTATGTGTTACGCCTTCTTTTTATCCCAAGTGCACGTTTTAATCAGCCCCATATTACGATCGATGGTGGCTTTACGTTCCATCGAAGTTCGGCGATGCCGAACTCTATCATCAAAATGTCGAAGTCTACCGTCTCATAAAAAGGAAGACTTTCATCACAGCTGTCTCGTGAACTGCAGTTTGTAGCCGCATAGTTTGATGGATTTGCCAGAATCTCATTTCGCGCTGTGTTAACAGATTTCGTAAAAAATTATAGCAGTAAAATTCAGAAATATGAAAGTATAAACTCACGAAATCACTTTAATAATCGATACTACTTCCAAAGTACTCCACTCTAGTAATATAGTTGTAAAAAAAGTAGTGGTTATCAAACTTGCATGTGAATTTCATGTGGATACCTATTTAAGCTGTGAGGCGAAGGAATGGATCTACGTACTCGCATGGAAGTCATTATATCTCGACTTTGAAACAAAATAAAAATGTTTAATGTTAAAATAAATGTTTATTATTAAAATAAAAATAATAAAGATTTATCAACATATACAATATTTTAGTGTCTGTCGCAATGTCATAAACTAGTCTCGGAATTAGCAAAATACAAATATGGTGGATTAGTTTATAAACATTTCGAGTTTTATATTTTTTACGAAAACAGCTGCGAAATTATCATTATATTTCCCGGGTTATATATTTAAACGCTTATTATCTCTAGAAGTAAAATACTTCAAAAAATACAAAATATTCGCGTATGTTTTACTATCAGAAACCCACCTTTAGTGAAAGAATTGGGCTTTTTTATCGCGTGCTGGATATACGAGCTTGCGAGTTCGTTGTAACGGCGCGAGAGCAGGGCTGATGAGGATTAGCTCCGCTATGAGCTGCGGCCCTTGGCTGTAAAATCCACCAATTACGTTTTACGCACGTAACAGGCGGAGAGGAAGCTCTTTCGCGAAATATGAAATGTTGACGGAGATCAGGCGGAGTTCTTAAACCTTTTGACACAAGTTTTGCTTGAAATAACTTTAAGGATGTTGTTCCCACCCCGTGATGCCTCGAAGAAGTGAATTTCCGATTGGAATGCGATCAATAAGTGTAATGTATGATTTTTTGTTTCTTTTTATACTAATCAATAAAGTGACGGACAATTTAACATTGTACTTATTTTCCAATTTTCACGAAATGTATTAATGATTTAATGTAAGTGCAATGAACTAATGATTTAAAGTTTTAAACGTAGTGAGAAGAGTTTTAGGTAACTAAGCTAACAAATAAAATTGTATTCTTTGGAGATAAAATCCATACATTTCTTTATTGACCACTGTTAATTTCAGTGCTTAGTTTTGAAAATGGAAGTATTTATTAAAATACCATATGAGAGCAAAACAATGAACAAAAATGAATAGTTGAAGTAATAAGATAAGATTTTGTGGCACTTTACTACCAATTGTACTTGAATAATGTGTCTTACACTAAGTGTTTCAAATACTTATTCATAGATTAATTTTTAATCGTTACTTAAATCGATTCAATTACCTCAATTAAAATGTGTAATATATTATAACATGATTTCCTGGCTCGGTTTTTTTAAAGTGTTTTGAAATGTGTTACGAAATTAAATTCATTTATAGTTGTTTAAAGATATGAAGTAAATGGTTATGATTCACATGTTTAAACAGTTGATATTATTCAATGGCCTCTATGAGCCATTATCAAAAGATATAAATTAAATTGTTAATTACGGGTTTCAATGACCAGAAGTAATTTTGCATGTATTGCGATGCAAACAGAACCGGAACAAGGCTTTAGAGAATTACGACAGTGGCAATTATAGGTGTGTGATAGATTGTCTCCATACACAATAATTAGAATTGCGTGTTTCGTAAATGATTTTATAATTAACAATACATTTCAGAACATTGGTAGTAGCTAATTTATATATATATATATATATATATATATATATATATATATATATATATATATATATTACCATATTTCAAAGCCTTAATTTCTAAGGCTTTTCCATCAGGAATTTGAAAAGCAAGAAATGATTTTTTTCGGTTTGAAAGATCGTAGCAATGACAAATAAGCTCTCTACATTGTAAATGAAGGATGAATAAGCTTCTTTGTTACTATAAATTCTTAAAGTTAATTTTTTAACACAGGAGAACATCAACAGTAGTGGTGGCTATGACCGTGTGCAAATTATTTAAAAAATCCTCATGTAGTATGCCAACACCATTCAAATGTTTTTTATTTAAATCGCATATTTGTACAGTTTTAGAATAATTCTCTGAAGTGTAGGTTACATTGACGTCTCAAAGTCTGTTTTGAGATATACCTAACAAAATATCTTATTTCAATTTGTTTACTTTTCATTTCTGAAAATTATTGTTTCACGATAAAAATATTATAATAACCCAAACGTAAATAAAATGTTAATAGATGTTAAGGCACTAAACAGAACGTTCTACGTGTGTTCATGATGTCGAAGTGAAGTAGATACTACGTCAAACAGTCATGTAGGAACGGAACTGTTCTCTAAATAGAGGAGAAATACTCCATATCGTTTGCGTTGTCTCCATGATCATCATAGGTACAAGTTCATTTCAAAAAATGAACTATAATTAAATTTACTGCGCAATTTCTTGTATGCTCGAATAAATTGAAAGAAAAACTAAAATTGTAAATTAGCGTCCATATGTTTTATTGGCTGACACCAAATTTTACGGCAATGGACTTCTATATTTGAAGCAGATTCAATAAAAAATACTCATAAATTACTGAATAAAATACATAGATATACACTTTAGCGTTGGTATTACCACTCAATAAATTATTATGAGCTTAAAGAGCACTTCAGTATCAAAGATTATATAGTTACAAAGTTACAGTACGCATTACAAAGTAATGCGTCAGAAATAACAAGAGTAGGGAAGCGTGGGTGATCACAGCTGAGTACACGAAGCCCCTGGAAGCATGTGTGCAGAGGGTTAGGAAAGAGAGCGAGACGGCTGGTTGAACCGGACAAATGAAATAGCTCGGTGTACGCAGGGAATGCAATGGGTTGGATGTGCGAAGACAATGAGGATTTGGTGAGGAGCAGAAAATGGTACGGGCGCGGAGAATGAAATTAGGGATTTGTTGAGGTTAGGGAATTTGCATAATCAGATGAAGCAAGGTTAGTTAAGAAAATGAGTTCGGGCTCACGAGCAAAGTGAATGAAAGGTTGGATGTAAGCGGGGAGAATGAAATGAGAATGGTAAATGGGACAAATGAATATTTCTTCAATTTGGGGATTAAAATGTGCAGACGGAACGAATGTAAAGTGCTAGATGTAGGTGGAGATATAAAAGTGATGTATGTGAGGTGCAAGTCAAATATTGCTCATGCGTGAATGCGTAAAAAGTGACGAGTGAGAAGGATGAGCAAAATACTTCTGCGTGGACAGCAAGAACTAGAGTATTATGCTTAATTTGATAGTTGAATTAGCCAAATCACGCAGAACAGATTGTTGTATGTTTATTCTCACTGAAACTCAATGAAAAGTGGAGCGTGAGATAGGTTAACTGACCACGAAATATGATGTTGATCAGGAATGAAAAATAAACTAGTGGTGATACATCAGCCCGTGATTGCTCGCATTAGAAACGATTACCTAGAATTGTAGTAACGCAATTTCTGTACATAAAAACGTATCTCAGCCATCACTTATAAACTCAACCGTAGCGCATTAGGAGCAAAACATTAGTGTATTTAAAGACAATACATTAACACCAACGTGTTACACAACGTGTAAAACAGCGTTTCATACACCCGAAAAAACTGACCAATACTGAGAAGTTATTCTGAGAATTTCAAACTGCCATGCCGTAGCGTTGCAAAGTTTGAATACTTTTAGAGTCATTTTGTGTTATATATAGGCAATTTTTAAACAATTTTTATCGCAAAAAAGGCTCTAATTTCTCTTCGTATGTATCAAAGTTGGTAAAAATGTTATTCTGGTCCCATCTTCTGCAAACTCTCTCTATTTTTGAAAGCCGCGAGAAGTTAACATTGTAAAAGTAGAATGTTGAAGAGGGGATTTTTGTCTTCAATGAAATTTTAAAAAAATAGATCTTTAACAAAGGTCATGTACATTTAAAAACGAGTACTTTTCTCGTAATTTTTGCTTGAATTAAATGCAATTTATATTTTTTCCTAAAAAAAGCCCCACAGGTTTTTTGACAATTTTCTCTACAGTTAAAGGAAAGGGTGCTTAAAAATGACGCATTTCTTCTTTTTGTAGAATTCTGTCAATTTTCGAAAATTGTAAAAGTTATAAATAATGCGAGGAAGTATGTGTGTATAGAATCAGAACTTCATAATATCAGTTTCTCTCTGTCAAAAAATCGTTTTTATACTAGTAAGTAGTACGCGAGCTAGTGAAAAGTACTGGTTGACCACGCAACATATATTGCAGTGGGTGACAAATGAAGAAAAGCCCGGAAACGGAAATCTCAGAATTTAATTTCACGTTGTACTGATTTATTCTAGCGTGTTCATGAAATGTTCCGAACTGGACAAAATAAAACAAAATAAACCAATAATGGGATCAGTGGGATGTCCATGTGAGTCATGCCAATAATTTCAACATATCATCAGGAAACAGAAACAGGAGTGGGTAGGAAAGGCTTATAGCTACAATAAGCTAGCTTTATAGACAACACCACACACACACACACTACACACACACACACACACACACACAACACACACAACATATATATATATATATATATATATATATATATATGTGTGTGTGTGTGTGTGTGTGTGTGTTGTGGTGTGTGTGTGTGTCCTATAAGCCTAGCTATATAGCAGCTATATATATATAGAGAGAGAGAGAGAGGGGAAAGAGAGAGAGAGAGAGGAGAGAGAGAGAGAGAGAGAGAGAGAGGGAGGGTAAAGGAGAACAGCGATCAAATGACTGGGCCAAACACTTTACTTCAACGGAGGCCAGCGAGCAGGCCAGTCTTACCGAGGAAGCGCTTGTCCGCGGCGCCGGGGGCGTCCTCCCCGCCATCCCAGCACCCTCTGCAGCAGCGCGTCGTCCAGGTCGCGGCCGCGCCGTTGGGTTGGAAGACCGGCAGCGCGAACTCGTCGGACGCCTGGCGCTGGCCCTGCCGCCGGCCGCCCCCGCCGCCGCCCCCGCCGCCTCGCGGCTGATGCGCCGTAGCGGCGCCCAGTGGCGCTTCTCCTCGTCCAGCTGGTCGCCGTCCGCGTCGTCGTGGCCGCCCGCGTCGCTGAAGGACGCGGCAGCGAAGGGCGACGGCCCGCCGGGCCCGCCCACCGGCAGCCGCCCCTGGCGCAGCAGCGCCGCCACGTAGCGCTTCGTGATGTCCTCGGCGTCCTCCAGCGCGTTCTCCTCTAGGCCGTCGCCCTCGCCGTCAGACCGCTTGCCCGTCCTCTGGGGCGGGTGCCTGCGGACGGCGCGCGTGCAGCGCGGGACAAATCAGCGTCACGTGCTCGCACATCTACCGTCCCAAGAGACTCTCGAACGCTTTATGTGTCAAATTTTGGGGCTCTCATTTAGCGGGAAGCTGTCTGTCGTGTAGCTAATTCCGTCGACGTGATGCAAAGAATATAATTCGACAGAAACACTATCCCGAAACGGCTTGTTTGGGGGTTAGTTTTAGGTTAACGCCGCCTCGTAACGCTTGGTGATGTCCTCAGTGCCCTCCAGTTCGTCCTCCAGACCAACGCCCTCACCCTCACCTTCGTCCTCGCCCTCGCCTTCGCCCTCGCGCTTGTCCTTGCCCTCGCCCTCGCTATCGCCGTCGCCCTCGCCCTCACATCGCTTGCCGGTCCTTTGAGGTGTCTATAAGTGCGACGCGTAAGACATAAATCAGCTTCACGAGATCGCGCATCTACCGTGGAAAGAGACTCTCTAACGCTTTACGTATTGAATTTCAGGGCTATCAGTTATTGCGAAGCGATGTTTGCCTCCTTTTCCGAAAAGTTTCGCAATTTGCTGTCAGTTGCTAAATATAAACGCTTACTGTAGAGATTAAGTAAATGGACTGCGGTCGGGATATTCTATCCGCTATTTCGCGTTGGCACATCAGCTTCTTTTGCGGGAGGTGTTGGGGTAATATAGCAAGAGAGCGCTGCCTCACTAGCAAATTCACACAAGAGTAAATAGTCTTGCCAGGTCGAACATTCATAACGGGCATTAGGCCAATTTCTTTTGCAATTTTCTGCATCTTTATATTTCAGTATTTAATAAGAATGGTCAGGATGAGTTCCTCTCATTCCTTATGGCTGAGATCTACTGATTATAGATATTTTCCGGTCAATTCATGGTTTTGTTTGGGAGTATCGTTTAGAATTGGTGGGAGACCCACCTATGTAACCGTTAACATGTAACATAGACTTTGATAGTTTTTGATAGAATTTGATAGCTTTTTTCATAAACTGGTGTAACGAGAGAACAGAATTTGGCAATATCTTGTAATTTTAAACGGAAACAATTTTAAATCCGATTAATTAAAGATGTTGTCTGCTCTCAGAACTTTGTTTTCGGCCCGGAAGCTGCAAGCTCTGAGGATTATCCCTACGCAATCGAAACGATCTTTAACAAAATATGTTTTTGATACCAATCAACCTCGTTAATTTACCGTATTTAATTATTAGAAGGTATCTACTTCACCAGCGATCTAATTAATGAAAACAATTTTATGTCGCTTTCAGTTAACAAGTAGTAAAATTATTCTGTTGTTTGGCATTTAACAAACGTTATAATTAGAGTTTGTGGGCTCGATCGTCGTAGATTTAATTTTCCGGGGTGGTGTATAATCCTGACCAGTTCGCATTTGGTGGGAAAGTGCGGATCGATTTGAACGATTTGAGCTAGCACACTCGGGTTTCTTTTATTCTCCCTCGCAGAATAGTGAATATTTTGTTTAACTATGCTTGAAATGACGAGAATTACCCCTGCAATTACCTCTGAAGTCTTTCGTTGTATTAACGTTCGCTTAGAACCATCAGAGGCCTCGTTTCTCTTTCTGAAAGACCTAAATATGGAATAGAAGTGTGAGAAAATTACTATGCACCCTTATACTCAATCATGAGCGAAATTGAAATCTCTGTTGTGCGGAGCAATTTGAACGCCCCATTCGCTGCATGCAATTTGATGCGACGAGCTAGAGCAAAAGTTGGATTTGCCTCTTTTAAAGCTGCATATTGTGAGTATGACAGGATTATCGTTAATGGTTTCGAGATTGCGATGAAACTCTCGGGGATCTGCATGAAACTTGGCTCTTTGGGTTCATTATAACTAATCTTCGCTCTTTTAATACTGGGAATTCCATTTTCCTCGCAACAAACCCCTACATAAGAGTACTTCGTACATCTCGGGTGTTATCGCCATGCAGCAGAGAAAGAGAGCTAGTCGATTTGCGCGTAATGCACACTTTAATTACCCAGCTGAAAAGAGGATCAAGGTTCAGATGTAGGGTTTTCTGATAAAATGTGTGCATAAATAGTGTTCGTTTGTTAATGTTAATAAATGTCAACTTAGAAAATAATTGATAAACGTAAGCTTTTCTTTTTTCTATGAATAAAAATAAGTACACTTGATATAAAAATATATTTCGATGTAATCGATTATTACTGACATTCGAATCATATTTAAATTATTTTAAACTAAAATTCTATTAATACTACTTTGAAATGATATAGAATTTTTAAAATGTAAAAGAATTGTTAGAAGGTTTGCCGAAAGGTTTCATGCGTTGCCTCAGCATTTTTCATCGCTTCACAATTACGTTAGATTAAAATATTATTACTGAATTTAAATGTAAAATAGTTCTTAATTCTTTACAAGCCTTTCTTCTGAACAACTATGTATGATGACATATTGAAAAGAAAGTTCAAAAAGAACCCCTTCTGACTGTGCTTAATTATTCAGAAGCATAAAAGAACGCGACGGACCTATCTGAAACTGTAAAGAATCACCCATTAATGTAGGTCAGATAAGTTGTGCGCGCAAATACAGTCCGTCCATTTGAAGGAAACTGGTAATTAAACCTCTTTACTGAACACAAAAACCTTATAATTCACATATTTTGAGTGGACTACCAGCAGTAGTCAATTACGTGGAGTACGTAATTATAAAGGCAATTCCACATATTCGGCATTCGCCAAGTAGCGAGAAACTGCTTGCCCAATCCCGACCAGCTCGCTTCTTTTAACGTGTCCACTACACGCGGTAGATAGAACGAGGTTCGAATCTTCGTCACTCGGCGAACAGCTCAGTTTCATCCACACAACTCGGGATTTGGCGAGCAGTCGCTCCTTCCTCACAGAGTACCGAATGTGTGGAGTTGAAGGCATAATTCAACTTAGTAAAACAAATGAGTAGGCAATACCAGAACAGAAAAATATTCGTAGATTGTATTTCTTTCCCCATAAACAAGCATAACTGTATATGTGAAGTTAACAAAGTAAATAAATAGATAGGTAGATAGATAGATAGATAGACAGGCAGAAAGATAGGAAGATAGATAAATATATACACAGATACACCGGTACAAAGGTATATATAAATATACAGAGAAGCAGATAGGTAGATAGATATATAGATAGATAATTAGATATATGGATAGATAGAAATAGAAATGGGTAGGAAAAATAGATATATAGACAGAGAGGCAGATAGATAGGTAGATAGATAGATAGACAGACAGACAGATAGATAGATGGATATATAGATAGATGGATATATAGATAGATGGATAAATAGATAGATGGATATATAAATAGATAGATAATTAGATAGATAGGTAGAGAGGAAGATGCTCACCAGAAGCGCTCCTCGAGGCCGAAGGTGAGCGGGTGGAAGCGCTTGCCGAGCGGCAGGCCGTGCTGCATGAGCGAGGCGGCACTGCGCTTCTCGGCCTCGGCGGCGTCCAGGATGTCGTTCTTTTTGGAGCCCGCGTACCTGCGCAACGCCGCCCCACTCACTCCATCGGCTCTACTGGCCCCACCAACCAGGAAGGGCCCTCCTGGATCTCGTGAGAATTAAAGACAGTTCCATTCACTACATTCGCGTTGTTTTACGGACCGACAACTTGTTTGACATTATTGACAAGTAAGGAAACGTTGTACTGTGTATACTACACTAGATTACTGCAGTATTCGTGAAGCTTATTTTTGCTACATTTATTTTGTTGCCGTAATTTTTATACGAGGGTATATTATTTGTTGCTCTTGAGCAGTGTGCAGGCTACTTTTGGGAAGTCATCAAATAAAAAAAGTATATTTGCAAAAGAAGTAATAGTATTATAACATTACGAATGTATTGATATTAAACAATACCATTGATGTTATAATATTTCTTTTCAACTCTGTCGTGTTGTATAGAGCCTCTCTACAGAAGAGAATCCACTCGTCTGCCCGCAAGACAGACATGTACAGCGGGAAGTATAAAGCAAAGGGGCTAGATAAATTTTGAATTTTAATTATATTCGGTTGTAAGTGCCGTATTCAGTTTCAACTATAATATATTGATTTTTATATTTAAATATATTGTCTTCTGTTCGGGCGGAGTAATTCTCAATTATACGGTACAGCAATTATGGGGTTTTGATTCAATGACGTTTTATACGTGGTACAAAAGCGTCATCGTTTCTTTGCGTATTATTATTGTCACAGAAACATAAACGTTTTACGCACAAGGATGTTCACTGGCAGAGGTTATAGTATATGAACATTTTCTTCTAAAAGTAGTAAGATGAACCGCACTTGTTTTCGTGGCGCGGTTCCGCTCAATACGTCGACACTCACTTCAACACCGTTTGTAATTTTTTTTAGAAGTTAGACCTGCATCGAACTACTGTACGAGTCATGAAACACGGCCTCTTTTCACTACGAGATCAGAAGGAAGGCGTTCAGCACTCAGCCATCGTCGGCAACCTCACCCACCCCACCCACCCATCACCCCAGCGAGACAAGCGAACTGCCAACAGAGACATTTACTCTACATCACGTCAAATTAACTGGGATCACACCCAATTTACCCACTCACCCTCAATAGAGACGGCCGTCGGAGGTGTGTGTTCGGCACGCCTACTTCACAAATGCTCATCATCCGTAAAAATGCAACTGGCACATTAGGGCTGATCTACATCGAGCGAAATAAATTTTCTAGGCTTAGACACAAATGTCAGGAGATGAGAGGCGGCGTGGTTAGCGCGAGGGCCGGTCTGGACTGGGGGCGCACCTATTTTATGAGGCGCGTGCCGGGCTGAGGCGGCGCGACCCGGGACAGCAGCGGCGGCGGCGGTTACTGGTAGAAGAAACCGACGACTGTGGCCTGCGTCGCTCTTGAACCCTTGCTCTTCAATCAAAATAAAGAACGCATCGAAGTTTCCAGAAACACGAAATTCTTAGTGAATGAGGTGGCAGCATGGAGCAAGAAGCATTCTAAAATTGAATTATAATGGTTGCTCTAAAAACCCCGCGAGCATTTTGGGTGCGAGAATTCGCGCGGAGCGAAGCGTCTCGAGAAAGGAACGTCCCAACGAATAGACTGAAGATTACAAACTGTGATTATAATGTGCAGATGACCGGTATGACTGATGCTAATAGACTGAATGAATGTACAAAATTAACTTAAAAATTTGACAGTAAAGACTGAATCAATGTGTAAAAATTTTGCAGATATCAGTGCACGCGCTTCAATAGACAAAATGAAACTGAAATAAAACGCGTTGTGAATCCACCGCGCTGAGCGCTCGCCGAGTAGCAGCAAAGGCGGTGGTGATGGTGTAGCGGTAGGCGTATCGAAGTGTTACATCCAAGATGCGGGGTTCAAACCCGATCGAAGCCGTGAATTTTTAAGGGCGAAAAACGCCTTCCTTTGGAGGGGAAATAAAGCCGGCTGTTCCTTGTTAATTGATTTACTGCATATACAAAACCTAAATAAAACCGCTTCTGAGCTAAAGGAGAGAACGTCCTATTCAAATAACCTGTTTCGTTACTTTCATTTCTCCGCTAGTTAATGACAGGAGCGTAGCGAAATTCGCGTGGTCAGACGTAAGAACAGACCTCAGGCCTCAGCAGTTTCGCCACGTAAAATAATGCATCAATTCAATTCAATTCAACGCTAATTGCGCTGTCACCGCGAGCGTGGAGCCGCCACCTTCGGCCAATTACAAGAGCGACGCAGGCCGCAGTCGGCGGTTTCTGCAACCAGTCACCGCCGCCGCCGCTGCTGTCCCGGGTCGCGCCGCCTCAGCCCGGCACGCGCCTCATAAAATAGGTGCGCCCCCAGTCCAGACCGGCCCTCGGGGCTAACCACGCCGCCTCTCATCTCCTGACATTTGTGTTGCAACCTCCGGACATGTAAGTAGAACTCAGAGGGCAGAATCTGTTTGTGCGTGAGTGTGTTTAGAAAGTAAATTATAAAAGAACTCTTATGAACACCAGTAATCCCAAAGTAATCCCAAAAGAAGAAGACAGAAGTTAATAATGCATGCCAAAGTAAAAATTCTATTATACGTAACGTATTACTAAACTATTTATGTATGAGCACTTTTTCAATTCAAGAGCATTTAAAATTTAATAAAAGAAGTGGGGTTCCTTCAGGAACCGATGACGTACCGAAGGAATCTCGGGACAAGAGATGCGAAATACAAATTAGTAGTATCTATCAAGTACATAAGTAGCATTTTACGTAATACGAAAAAATCTGTACAGTTTAACCACTAGTTTTAATCTAATAACTGTGATTTGTGTACATTGCGTAGGATGTATTATGCATTTTCTGGTCTAAATTCGCTGTATATTTAGTCATTATTACTAATTTTGTAATTAAAGCGAAAATTACAAGAATAAGTACTCTTGATTTTTCGATAATGATTCAATCTCCGCATTTGTTCTAGAGGGGAGCAAATGTTTCAATCACACCAAAAGGCGGTGTTTAACTCCCTTGTGTACGAGGAATGCATGAGTTCCTGCGCCGTTTAACACTATTAAACGACCACTCTGCTAAATTTATAACAGAGTGCAAAAGCTCCAAAGCACATTGAATCCCATACAACAAACGCATTTGTCCTGAGAGTCTGCAGTGTTACGAGCCGTGAAGTTTGTTTCACATGTGTTGCGGCAACCATATTAGTTGCAGACAGACCGCGCCAACGTTATTTGTTGGCGAGAAGCCGCAACGATGCTATTTGCTGAACGCTACACAATGGGACTGTCGACATCCACACACAGGCAGCGTTATGTAAACCTGTTCCGCTCGAAAACGAGGCCAGTGCGTAGGGTGAATTGGGAATCACTTTTCACAGTCCATTAGATTTGCAGTTTCAATTTTAGAGACTTACAAACATAAAAAGTACCACAGAATGTTGATAGTGTAAAGAATGTTCAGGATAATTTAAAACGTATTTCCAGAAAATCACACTTTAACACTTAAATTATGAATTCTCAAATTATTACTTTTGTATTATTTAGAAAATTGAAAAAGCTTAAATGCTTAATGTTAAAAGCTTAATGTTTAAATACACATTTTTAATTTTTTTGAGTCAGTGGCGATAGAAAAATGATCAAATTTTATATGTTAAAAATGTTTCAAAACTTCCTCTAAGAAAAATCAAGTATACATAATGAAGAAAAAGGGTG